GACGCTGTAGCGCTACAAGTCTGAACGCTGCCTTATATTCGTGACCGGGGCATCGGATTACTTCTGTGGGCGAAGTTTCAACTGAAAAATTGTTCTCACACTGTTGAATAGTGCCCTGTGTTGGTTTGTAGGATCACTCGGGGCACTGCTGGACTCCCACATTTCGTAACAGCGACAACGTATGGACATTCTACTCTTGTTCTTGTGGTATAACGTTTGTCGCCAGCCGCGAACGCGCCGCGCCGATCGGCGAACGGGACTTTTTAGCGGATCAGTTATCACCGCAAACGTATTGAGGTCAAAATTTTTCTCCACCCATGATTAACCCTAATCGAGGGTAAGAAACCTCTGAATCAAATAATCAGACTGCTTAACGACTGGCAAAGTCTTTTACCTTTTTGGGCTCCGGAACCGTGCATATAAAGAATGCTGCCTACATCATTGCAAACATCTCTTTGAATCTCACAGAATCAGAATGGTTCACGTCTTTTAGCGCAGAGCTAAAGTTATTCAGCACATAATTACTAGGACATGGACCTACCCCATGGGTAGTGTTTGCTGGGGCCTTTCATGGTCAAGAAGCTTGCCGAACGATTTCTTATGATCAGTGAAAAGGAATGAGCTTTTCTGCAGCTGCTGGAAGGAAATCTGCACAACTAGCGCCACACAAGTTCAGGTACAATGTACAGTTCTCATCTAATACCCCACCCCCCCCCGTCCGCGTTGTCTTGTGGATGGATCAAAGGTTGGAAGCTCCTAAGCGTTCTTAAAGAACCGGGAAAGTTCAACGTCGCCCATTAGAGTCTTGTCTCCCTCTGGATTCACATGAGCTTCATTGCTCCAATCCACAAACTGTTGCACATTAGGAAGTTGTCACGCATTGCCGCACGACGACCCGACAAAGGACGATTGTCTCGTCCGGCTCCCTGTCTAAAATATGGTCTTGTTGAGATAGAACTAAAACAAATCTTTATCAACCAATAGCTAGTTGTCTCACTAAGACTATAGGTTCACGAATAGCTATCGGATAGTTAAATGATTGTATGTAGGTTGATAAATTTTTTGATAACAAACCGAAAAAGGGACCAAAAGCTGCATCGTCTATACAAAAGGCTAAGGTGATGGTTACTGTTCCTGCTGCTGAACTTCTTCGGCTTGAGTTTTCTCGTCGACACCTTGTTGAGCGCCGGTCGTCGTCGTGTCATCGTCGGGGCCTTTTGTCCCCGTTTCCGTTTCCGCGTCGGGGGCTTTCGGCGTCACAGCCGGTTCACCTTCGGCAGACGATGGCTGTCCCTTAGGAAGAGGAGTGGATGCCGGTGTTTTCGCTGTCAACTCCTCACTTTCCTTCGGCGTTACAGGTGTTCGTTTTGAAAAGTCGCTAGCAGTACCAGGAGGAGCGGTCTTCTCTTCGCTCGAGCCAGGTGATTCCGTTGGCTCGCTAGGTGGCGTACGGTCAAGCAGATTTTCACCTGCCATTTCTTGGGCTACTTAAAAGCAATCTATTAGCAGTTTATTGTACCTCAGGTTTGAAGAAAAGTAAAAATTACTGAAAGCTCCTTTCACACGTTTGAAAGCAGGATGCAATTCTGACGGAGAAAACATTTCCGAGAGTTCCTAAAAGGAAAACCCAAAGGCACATTACGCGATAAGCGGGCAAGCCTAGAAGTGGGCGGGGACTCGCAATCACTGTGCCTTCCTCGTTGACACTCTCCGCCTTACCATATTACGAGCCCGTTGTGCCTTCCTCGTTCATGCGCCTCTCATCACGGCAAAAGAGAGGCGCTTCAATGACAGAGGTAACATGCTTGTGAGGCCCCGCCCACCAATAATCGCAAAAAGTAACTCATACGTTGGAAGGGTGAAAGAAATACTGAGTCAGGATTTTTACCATCTCCTTTGGAGCATTGGAGAGCTGGCAAACGCAGATAACCAGTGGAAGAATCCATGGTGTCAAAAAGACGGCTGAACTTTAGCATCGACGTAGTGTCCTCTTCATATGGTGCCTGAAGCCCTAGTTGAATGAGCTTATTCACTTTGTTGTGCTGTCTGGTTTGGTGCGGACGCTGTGGCTTATCAGGGGGGGGGAGGGTGTGAGTCCGGTGCGGAGCGGGCGCGTTATCCACTCGTTATTGAAGAAGGGCAAGCAAAACAACCTTCCTGAGAGGCCTAGGAACAAGACCAGTCGGATCGCCCGGCTGTCGCCGGGCGCTCCTCCTTCTGTGACATGGCCCGGCTTCGCCGGGCCATGCGGATTTGCCGCGTGCTAAGTTAAGGATCGTTGACCAACCACACTGTTCAAAGGAATCTTCTGCATCAGCCAAGAACTGAAAAGCAGCGCTTGTTCCGTCAAGGCGCAGAAGCAGCAGCAGCGCCCCCCCCCCCGCATCACAGGAGGAAAGCCGGCCTTAGCCAGCGATCCGACTGGTACGTTCATAACCTACACGGAAATAGTGCAGCCTGTTTATACAGCCACTGAAGCCTATAATTTATGCAATCTGTCTTCCTAAAGCGGTCTTGCTTGGAACCACTTCGCTTCAAGCAGTGGAACCTTTAAAAGGCCCTCACTGAAGTTGCTGATGGAAGATAATTGTGGTAAGAGTGATAAAGTCAGTTGCTGCTGTTCATAACATCTCTGTAAACAAACCACATGCATTTGGAATAGAGCTGGCTTAGCGGTCGTACACGACGTCGTTACTAATAAGCAGTAGTGAGGAATGAGTTCTGTTGGAATCACTGAGATCGTTATACTTGAGTCATATCGATCGCATTGTTGTTGTGAGCGGTGAAGCGGATTTTCCCATGCTACCTTGTCAATTTTAGCTCCTATCACTTCCGTACCCGCCAATAACACTCCCGTCCCGTATCACTATCATCACCCTGTATCGCCTCTCGGATCAAGGGGTTCCCTTAACAGTGTCTGTCACATGCGTTACGGAATCTGATGACCTCCCTTCCGAGGCCGCATTACCGTAATCTTTTATCTAACTGTTTCACTTTTGCTGTCGCCGCCAATAAATGTTCCCGTCCCACACCCTATATCACCTCACGGATCTGAGTTCCCACTGTTGCTGTAACCTGCGCCACGAATTTGATGACCCTCCTCTTCCGAGGCCCCTTATCGGATCTTATCAACTGTTATCAGCTTCTGCCAGCCCCACCCTACGGCATATCAGTACTTGAAATCATGGTCCCGCCGTTGCTGCAACTTGCCACGAATTCGGTCACCCTTAAGATTCGATAGAGGTGATAAATAACAGATAACGGTGTCCCTTTTAAGGCCCCTTATCGAATCTTATCAAGTGTTATCACCTCCTGTCACCCACAAAAGTGTTCCCGTCCTGCCATGTATATCACTTCTTGAAATCAAGGTCCCGCAGCTGCTGCAACTTGCGCTAGATGTTGGTCACCCCCCCCTTCTAAGGCCCCTTATCGAATCTTATCAAGTGTTATCACCTCCTGACACCCACCAAAAATGTTCCCGTCCTGCCATGTATATCACTTCTTGGAACTGTCATCTATCTCTTTCTGGCGACGTCGCTTATGAATTTCGTTGACACCAAACACACACACACACACACAGCACACACAGACACAGACAACATAGCCGGATTATATTATATTTCAAATAAAAGCTACTCTTATCCTAAGAAGGTCGACGAGAGCGTATTCTCCAAGAGTTCACTGGCCGCTGCTATCGCCACTCCTTAGCGCCGACCGCCACGCGACCGCACGCGCCTTTAGGGTCGGAGATCACGAACTGGATTTTCGGGCGATCTGATGACCTAGAGGAAGACTTACTGATAACGAAAAAGAGCGGGCCATCAGGTTCAAGCTGCGTTGACAAGCGGAAAATAGTTCGGTGCGTTCGCTGATTTTCGGCTAGTTTACTCGGCTCACGCGTCAGTGCTATTGGGTCCTGTTGCGAATGCCGCGCGCGCGATACCTGAATGAAAGGGACAGAAATATCGCGCTTGGTGGGCGAAATAGACGAAATCAAACCTTATCGTTGAGATTACGAAATCGAAGCCAACCGCTCAAACGATTACATTCAACCGCTTGCATAGCCTGAAGAGGAATGAATTACGTATTTTACTAAATTTATTGGGTTGTGAGAATATAACTGAAATGGTGCGCCTCTCGTTGTAAAAGGGAGAGAGAACGAGGATAGACGCCCTGAGGAAGACCGAACAATTCCCTGTCTCCGCCCATGCAGTCAGCATGGACTGCACTGTTGAAGAAAAATTACTGCACTGAAGGACGTACCCCAGTAATCTATCATGTTTGAGCACGAGGGCGGCCAGGACGAGCTGCTGCTGCAGCAGGGAGTACAAAAGCAACATCAATAAGAAGTCTGTGGAATAGTTTGAAGCAATGACACCAATTCTTACCAGTAGAGCGACGAGTGAATAGTGATAGGCGGATAGCAGCAAAGTTGGATTCAGAAACGATAGCAGACCAGCTCGTTCACCCAGTGTGTCAACCATATCGATCTCGAATTCGTGCACTCCTCAATAGAGCCCGTTTCAATTGAAAGGCACTTTCCTGGTGCTAAGTTACTAGGGCTCCTAGATCCAACCATTTCGCCCTCGCCTCCTTTCTGCTCGTTCGCTTTCTCGAACACTATCTGGTAGAGAGGACGCAGACAAGCAGAGAGTGGACGTTTCAAAAGCTCGATGCGACCGACTGCCTCCCCTAGTTAACTTAGCGCTCACACTCAGAAAACACGTAGAGTACTGAACCTCGGCGATAAAGTGCGCGCGGTCGCGTCGCGGCCGTTTCTGCTACCGGTGAAGTTGAGGCAGATTCAGAAAAATAGTGATTCCAGTGAAATCTGGAGATCGACGAGGGAGAAGCTGTGCCGCATACCCGAAAACCATCTCGACAGCATAATTTCCCCTGATACCCCTCCCTCCCTCAAAAAATGTGTTTGAGCCGCGCCGCAAACGGCACGCCTCAATGTACCTTAGTCTGACTTATTTAAAACTCTACATAATTTCAATTTGAACGACTAATACCATAAAAGTGGACGAAGACCATAATCTCCGCGAAAATGAAGAGATATTTGGAAAATGTGACAATCGACTCTTCCACAGTATTTTCGCTGTCGGCTAACTGAAAATATACGTGTACGAAGGTTCTCACAACCCTTTCAGATTCAGTGGATGCGTCAGCTAGAGGGCGGGACAGCAGTTTGAGTGCCATTGGTGGAGTTCGGTTGGGCACATCCCCCTTGAGGTATGGGGCAAGACAATAGTTTAACAGGGGGGGGGCAAAAAAAGTCATTTTGCCTCCATGACTTTCAAGGCGCTATAAGTTACACTTTATTAAATTTTTATCGGACATTTTACCATATTAAAGAGCACATTAAATACTATAATGATACTCCGCCACAGCCTTCTGGAGGAGCGCCATCGAGAGATTCGGCCGCGCGAAAGTGAGTGGGTACCGGAGTTGAGCGAGATCGTTGATTTCTCCGCCACTGTAGACCACCCTGTTGAGCTCCGCCCGAACTAGGTAATTGAGTGGGTTCAGGTCAGGGGACATACTTCAATATTACATCTTCTTCAGGTACGAAACGCCCTTCCATTCGAAGTAGGCGGGAGTTTTTCCAAAACCCTTCGATTCCATGTGGTGGCACCCAAACCTGTAGCAGCACAAGGTCTCCAAGAAGGTACGGGCGACCACATGTAGGGAGGATATCCTTCTCGAGTTACTTGATGTAACCGCCAGCGCTCACCTTCAGTCGGGGTCTACAAAGAAAATATCGGTCTTCCCATTCCAGGTACGGCCGGTCCACACCATCAACCCGCGCCTTGGTGAATGGGGTGAAGATGATGTCCTGGACCGTAGCGATGTTGCCGCCGGAGCTGCTCGATGTTGGGGTCTTGCAGATCAAGAGTACTGGTCTCCAGGTAGCTATCCATGGGTGATTCCATTCAAGAAGTTCCGCAGCTGTTTGGAGGCCACGTGAATTCCAAAGGCGTTCTCCACTCAGGCCGCGACTGGAGATGACTTCATATTTTGGTGTACATGAAGGTGAATGGCGGCAGCCGGCTCCTGCTTATAGAGGAAGATCTTATCTCCGCCCTGGTACTCATATCCACTTGCCTCTGTCTGGAGCTGGCGAAAAACTTCGCGGCTCATATGTGACTCGGCCGAATGACATCTTTTTTTTTTGGCTTCCCTGATGTCTCGCTGTTAGGCTTGGCAAGCGACGTCGCCCTCGCAGGTTTCCAGCTGTCCTGTACCGTGACGGAAAGTTCGATATCACTTAGCATGATGTTTTACCTCCACTTGAACTCAAAGGCGAACAAAATCGCTCGCTGAATAGGCCTCTTTAATAGTCACCGTGCGCGACGGTGCGATGACGCGCAGCGAATCACGGTTGTTTTCCCTGTACTCGCCCAGTGCTCCAGGCCACGCCCTTCCACCAATAAACTTTGAGCTGCTGCCCCGCCCCTAGCAATGTCGGCAGTGTTCAAAGTGCTTCCTGAGTTTCCCTTTTTATCTCAGTGACTTACATTGATAGTAAACAGAATGTAATAGGTACAACTAAAGCAAATATAAAGAAAAACCGCGAGCCGTTCATCAACACGAGCACGACCGGGGAAAAAGTCCCGTACTAACGCAAACACCACAAAAATGACACCTAAAACAATCAGTGAATTTGTAGGGAAGTAGCCAGTTGACCAGTTGAACAAAACTGTTATCTTACCGAATGCTGACGTTAGGTCCATAATAAGAAAAAGTAGATAGCATAACATCAACCACGTTTGCGGTTCGTAGCTCACTAGAGAGGCGTACTCGGTCATGGCTGCAACAGCGAAACGAACTCCTGAAAAGGCGATTTAGTCGCCGTGTTGTAATGACATCTGGGTTTTATACTGAGCG